AGGCTGAAGTGAACAATTAGCAGCCTGGTAATCACAGCACAGGCAGAAGCAACATTACAGCACGGTAACAGCAACAATAAAGAAACACATAGGAAGCCAAACTTGATCTTGAATCCTTTGGCATTTCCTCCCTTGTCACTGCCCCACTGGCTCAGAGCGTGTCTCAGAGGCCCCATAGGTCTTGGAAAATAACCCAGGTACAGCCAGGCTCTGCTCAGAAAAGGCCGAACAGGGTCAGTGTGCTCAAGTGCAGCCAAAGCTACACCAGAACCTAGTGCTCACCTGATCCCCGGCCCCTTCGCTGGTGACTCGTCGCCCTGTTCTGCCTGACAGGATTCACGAGGCGGCAGCCCATCTCGTCCGGCAGGCAGAGCAGCCCACATTCGCCCCAGACTTTGAATGCGGCCACCCTACACTGCACCCCACTGCACCCCTGCCAGGCTGCCTTGTTCTTTCCAAGGCACAAGGGGTTTTATCCGTGAGCCCTCTGGCAGAGGCGAACGCCTGACCTGGATGGAGCGTTGCAGATGAGGCAGTGAACAGCCCGAGCCGCTGTCCAGGACTGTCTTCACCGGAAGTGGGTGTGCACCAGGTGAGCTGGCCCCAGGCCTGAGTCAGCGTGCTGTCATTTAGCGAGATATGCATTGGGTCCCGAGAGATCGAGACTGTGCACTTCTCACAGTGGCCTAGGGAGTAGGTAAGGGTCACCTGTGCAGGTCCATCTGACTCATCCCTCAAAGCCCATGCTCTCAGCCAGTTGGGTGAGCTCAACCCACCCCATCCCCAAATGGCATTAGAATGCTCCGTGGTGAGAGCACAGTGCTCCCAGGCAGGGGAAGGAGACACCGAAAACACAGCAACAGGGGCCCAGGTCCAGGCCCCCAGTTTGCCATCACCCCCCCAACCCAGACAATAAATAATTGTTCACATGCAGCTGAATAACTATCTTTAAAAACAGGATGGAGCAATCTTTCCTAAGCCACTTGGTTGGAGCCCAGGGTGACCGTGGACTGAGCCAGGACTGAATTTTCAGATTATATAAGCAGACTCTCCTCTGAGACCAGCACAGATGGGTGGCAGCAGCGACCAGAGGCGGCCAGAACTGTCTCTGAGGTGGCTGCTCCCATCACTCGGACTTAACGCCACAAGGACCCTAGGCTGGCCTTCCCTTGGGATGGTGGGACCGTGTCCCTCCAGTAAGTATGTCTTAGCACGGCCAAGAGATGGGGTGCCCTCAAGACACCTGAGTACTTACGCCTCCATCGCTCCCCTCCTCCCTTCCTTGAAACCCACAGGGGCACCTCTTTTGAAGCTCACGTAACTACAAGCGGTTGAGGGCCTGGCCTCCCTGCCCTCACCGGTGAGGTCTGCGTGGGGGAGGCCCAGCCAGCTCCAGACATCCATATGTAAAGGAGGACTCGTGAAGAACCTAGAACTTACAAGGGAGACTGTCTTTCTTGTGTACCCCTCCAAACCAGGACTGCAGACAAGCTAAAGGGAAGCCCCCACCCCCTGAAACTCCAGGGGCTGCAAAGCTGACAGCTTCTAACACATGCTTTCAATGGCCAGTGATACAGTGAAAGCTCTGGAAGCAAATCCTTTCCACTTCCACCTGCAAGCTGAACCTAGAAGCTTCCAGTCTCTGTCAGACCTCTTTGAGGGGGGGTCTTCCCAGGACAGGACACGATCCAGAAGCCAGGGCCCCTCCTGGAGTTTTAGAGTCAAGGCGCCACGCTCAGGCTAAGACACAGCTCAGAACCAACCCAGCAACGCTCCCACAGTGCCTGTGCTCATGGGGAAGCTGTGCTGAGGGCCTGGGCCTCCCCCAGAGCCTGCCCGTGGGCATGTGTCTGCTCATGTGCCTGTGCACGGGACCGTCTATCTGTACAGTCGAAACACACACACACACACACACACACACACACCCCCCACACAGCCATGCACGGAGCCATCCATCTGTCTCGGAGAGCCAGCTGTCAGAAATGAAAGTACAATCTCCTGGAACCGAGTCCCAGCCAGACTAGGGAAACTCGCAGGGGCGGGGTACGCTCACCGAGTCCCGAAGGCCTGGGCCTGTCACCGGCCAGCCCCTTGCTGCAACGCTGGAATTCCAACCTGCAGCCAGCGGGCCGGCTCCCAGGGCTCCCGCCGCCCACTCCCCTTCCTCTCCCCTTCCTCGCAGGAAAGGGAAGGGCCGGCCTTGCAGTCACCCCCCCTCCCCGCTTTTCAGGAGGGGGCATGCCTTTGAGGACACCCCACCCCCACCACCAAGGCCCCACATTTTCACATTCGGCTGTTTTTTCTTTCCCTTCTTCCTGTGCCAAGAGAATCAAGCCCTGGCTCCCGCTGCCGACCTGCCTCCCACCCTAAACTGAGCCCCATTCATTAAGGCTGCTCTCAGCCAGGGCAGGACAGGAAGGAAAACAGCACACAGGGCCTGTGAAAGAGACACTCAGAGAGGTTATTTCACGGCGGAGGAGGGGAAGGAGGGGACAGATCCTTGTGGGCACTTGCACCGTTCCCCACCTTGGTGCCCACTTGCCCCCCATTCCCAAAGTATGCTCCCATCCTCCAGCCTCTGCTACCCCTTTCCCCTACCCGGCAGGCCCCCCACCCCCAGCCAGGCCCTGCCCCATTCAGCCGCCACAGCCCCCAACGGCCTCATCCTCTGCAAGGCAGACACACCCAGGCCACCCGCCCCCCCCCCCACCCCCATGGAAAGATCAACTTCTTGAGGAGGAGGTTTGGGCTGTCTCCATTTACAAAACCCTCTGCCCTGGCCCCAGGCCACTACAATCGGCGTTTGGAGGGCATCCTCCCTGCAAAGGGTGCAGCCCTGAGTTTGCTCCGTGCCCACCGCCTCCCCTCCAGACACCCCCAAAACCAATGGCACCAGCCCAAAACACAGTTTCTTCCATTTCCCCCCACGGCACATTATTAATAAACTGCTCCAACTCCAAACGGAAAGAAGAAAGAGCTCAAACTTTGAAGCCTTGGGAATTAGTAAATCAAGAGCTAAAATTCAAAACAAATGCTCTTTCATGTGGAGGTCCCCCCCTTTTTCTTCTTTTTGCAGTTTTGTTAAACCACGGGATCCCTTTAGAAGCAAGCACGCCTTTCCTAGCAGCTCCCCATTAATCTAAATGGTTGCAATTACTTTGGGGGGTGTGGGGAGGGTTGAAATAACGGTTTCACCCCCAGTTTCGTCGCAGAACTGGAAAAGCTTTTGGAACATAAAGCCCACCGGCCTCAGAAGGGGCCGCGTGGGGAATGCTGTTTAGTGGGTCACTGCTCAGCTCTCGGGCGTGCAGGGAGGCACCCGGTCTGGTGGCTCAGCCTGGCGTCACTTCCTCCAGAGCAGAGGAGACAGACAAGATGTTATCAGCAAGACAAACCTTCCGAAAAGCCCCCTTTCAAAAGCTACCACTTCCCTTGCTTATTTCATGTGGTTCAGAAGGGCTGGGGCCCCTCCCTGCACATGCAGGGTTTAAAAAATAAAAGCATCTAAACTGCCTGTTATTTTGCTTAGACCCTTTCCTCTCCTCGCCTTCTTTCTTTCAGGAACTCTCTCGGCCTTAGAAAGCAGAGAAAACACAGTTCCCGCGTTGTCCTCCCTCCTCGCCGCTCTGGACCACTCCCCTCCCTGCGCCCCAAGCCCCCTCCCCTCTCTGGGTCCCTCTTTTTCCTGCTCAGTTCTCATTAGGAGCTTTGAGTAAACAATAGCCTCTGTCTCAGATAACACCCGGAGTATATACTGCACAGAAATAAAAACAAACACAGTCTCCCTGAAGACATTCTCAGCAAGCTCAGTTCCTGGAGAGGAGAGCCTGGGCGGGGACTGGCGGGGGCGGCCTGAGCCTGGGCCACACTTGACCAATTAGTCGCCTCACAGAAGAGGGTGCACCACAGCCCCCCACCCAAGACAGTTGTGCAGCTTCTTTCCATCAGAGCCATGGTCCTACACCAATGCACAGACAAAAGCAAGAAATGACAAATGCCCAGACCCTGCTGGAATCCCCCCAACCACCCCCCTGGTTACTTTCCTCTGGCTTTAGCTACTTCTTTAGAAAATCCAGTGACGGCACACTGGGGTGGGGAAGACAGGTGGAAACAGGATGGCTGGGAAAAAATGGCAATGCCTTTCAGCTGCATCGCTAATGAGTCTCCAAGTTGATCATTCTGCTCTCTTGCCCCTCAGGAGCAATGATGCTCAGGCCACCCAGGGACCCCCATCTAATCCCATAATCCTCCGGCAGCTCTGAGGAAAACCGTCCCTCCTGGGTAGCCGTGTTAGCGCCTCCTGTCTGCAGTGCCCACCCAGGTCCTGCCGCTGCGGCACCCTGCACGACGCTGGATTGGGGATTAGGACGTGGAGAAGCATCAAGGCCATCTATTCTGAACGCCAGTCCTACACTTGGGATCTCTCTGAAAGGTGGATCCATCCCCCTGAAAGCACCTGAGGCACAATGGGAAAGAGCAAGAACAAGAGCTGAGACCTATGCCCTGACTGGTGTGGCTCCATGCACTGAGCACCAGCCTGTGAACCGAAAGGTCTCTAGTTCGATCCCTGGTCAGGGCACATGCCTGGGTTGTGGGCCAGAGGGGCAACAGATCGCTGTTCCTCTCCCTCTCCTTTCTCCTCTAAGAAGTAAATAAAATTTTTTTTTAAAAAGGAGCTGAAATCTATAAACACTTCAAGCCAGGAATTGCTTAACAACAACCACGAAACACAGCACAACACCAGTCCCAAGGTGGACCCTGCTTCCTCATCTGAGGGGCGGGCCCAGCATCCTGGCGTGTGCGGGGCTTCAGCACGAAGAGCTGAAGGACCCCAGAGTCACCAAGGTCGCATCCAGTGTAATGCACTGAAAAGTGAGAACTCCAGACCAGCTGGGGTGACAGGCAGCCATCCATCCACTCCCATTCCTCCCATCTCCAGCAATTTCATGAGGGAGGGGTCCTCCTTGGAATTGCCAGGAAAATCTGAGAACTCATCTTACCTGAAAGCCCCCCAGGGGCCAGATAATTCGTTCCCCCTGTTTCAGCGGAGGAAGGCACAGCATCTGGACAGTCTGCTGTGGATTTCAAAAGGGGAGAGAAAGAAACAAATACAGAAATAAATACATGAAAAAAACACCAAGATTAATTTTTAAGCACACTCGAAACAGCATTCAAGAGAAACCAAACATTCCACACTGCTGACTCCCGGCCCTGAGGCTGACATGAATGGGCTGCTCAGGCCGCGCTGCCCATCGGGAGACGGACCGCAGCGCCCTGTCACCGTCTGGGCTCCGGGAGGCCAGTTAATCATTAGGCGAGTCAGGCTTGATCACAGACTGGCCGGAATTTCTCTCTTCTTGCAAATCCCCCATGCAGGGAAAGCAGGTAGTTCCCAAGGTCAAAGGAAGCCCCGGTTCTGACCCTCAAAACGCAGTGGTATCTCCCTGCTGCCACTGCGCCCTGAGCCTCTTTGCTCGGTCCCAGCGCCACTCTGCCATCCCCATGGACCAGCGTTTCGCCCTCATATTTTAAAGACGGACTTGCCAGTTCCTTAAGACTTTCTCAGGACAGGCGCCGGGCTAAACGGACTTCTTTTTCCCTTTTTAATCAATATGCAGTAACTATAGGAAAGCGTGTGCATCCCCGGCACAGCTCCACGAACTGTGCTCAGGCTCACACCTGTATGGAGCCACCACCAGGTCGAAACATCAAGATGGAGAACATTCTCAGCAAGGCTCCCAGCCAGAGGGGAAATATTCTACCTGCTTCCAGGCCTAGTCCAAACTCCCCATCTCTGGAAACCATCCCGGACGGACGACCCTGGACTGGTGAGGTCCAGCACCCTGCCCTCAGTTCCTACTACAGCACCTTCCTGGCACCCAGCGCCTGGAACTTCCTTCTGCTGCCTGCACCCGACCCTTCACCTTCAGAGCCTGTCTGTCCTAACTCTACTCACAAGCTTCTCTTCACGTTTTTGTAACCCTCAGGTACTAGGCACAGCGACCTAAATGTTTACGAGGGTAACGACAAATCTAGCTGAGAGACAGACTCAGCAACCTCCCTGCAAGCAATTAAAACAAAAACTAATGCCCAGGAACCAGAACTAATGAATCGCAGGAAACAAAAATGCACAAGACCCTGTAAGCATATCGCGCACCTGGCCGATGCCAAAGTTACTGAGAACCACAGCGGAAGGCTGGTCTGTACAAGGTGCCACTGCCCTCACGGGGTTAGGTGGTACAGACGCCAGCCCCCAACCCCAGGCCACTAGCAGGAGCACCTGCGGGGTGCACCACCAGCTTCCCACTGGAACCGCAAAAGAGCCGTCCAGAGGCCCGCAGCCCACAGGAGCCCCACAGGGGCCCAGCAGCTGTTTCCATTACCTGGTGAAGGGAGGTGGGGGGCCTACAGGTAGCCAGAAAGCACCTCTGGGTTTCTGCTGCTTGCCCCCGCCCCCATGCCCCAACTCACTCGCTCTCATCCCCTCACCAACTCGCTGCAGCATTCTCCCCCGGGCTGGAAAAACAACTGTGCAAGAATTCTCTTCACCAGGGGAGGGGGAAGCAGGAGGGGCCGCGGGCAGGGAAAGAGAAAAGACTGTGTGTGATCTCATTTTATCAGCGTAAAGTATAATTCCTCACAGGAATATACAGTTTTACAGGATACACTTAATCAAATGGAAAACAATAGAGGAGACAGGAAATGGAGTTGCTTGTTAAATGGTGTATACCCTGTACTTTCTGAACTACTTTGATGGCCTTCACCATGTTCTGGAGATCAGCTGCTCCCTACCCCCAAATGGAAGACAGCCCCACATTAGACGCGATGACTTATGCAGGGCCACGCCTCCCGCCCGGCTTGGGCTGGCTGAGTCCCAGGGCAAGGTGTTTCAAAGGAAAGGCCCGGCAACTCGGGGCAGAGCTGGGACCACGTTCAGGGTGTCGGCCTGCCTCAGATCAAAGGTAAGCCAGCCCCACACTGCCAACCACAAGCGTTTTATGAAATGGTGCTCTGCCCTTCTGCAGAGCCTTTGATCTCAGGAAGGATTTACAAACATTAATTAGGCCTCCCTACCACCCCTGTGAAATAGCAAAGTAGACCTGCTCGACTCGTACCCGGGTAAACTGAGGCGCCATTGACTAGCCCAAGGGGCCACCCAGTAAGCTGGGCCATACCCAGGAGCGCAGCCTCTGTCCCATCGCTCTCCGTCCCCCGGCCACCAGAGTCCTCACTCTCTCCGCTCCCTTCCCCTTCCCTGCAGGTAGCCGGGGCTGAGACTATCTTCAGCATCCAGACTGGCCTCAAGCTACTGCCAGACTTGTAAAATAAGGTCACAGCAGCCACACCCCCGTCGCTCAGCCACAAAAAAACTCCCCTGAGATGGAGCTCTACTGCCAGGGTCTCAGCCTCCGTCTGTGCTTCCCACTCCCCAGAGCCCAGAGCCCAGAGCCCAGGCTGGCAGACGGTCGGAGGCCTGCGCATTACCAAGCCCCCAGTGAACGCTGGGTGCCCTGGAACACGCACTCCCTCTCCCAGCAGCAAGAGTCCTAGACGATGCAAGCCAAGGACGGAGCTGGTGAGAGGGGCAAAAAGGCGAAGCAGCTGGAGTCCCACTTCCCGCACCAGGAGAACGGCCCCCGACACGCCAACCCAGTCCTGTCAACTCAGTTCTGGGCTTCCCAGGTGCCGTCCAGGACAGCAGAGCCACAACACCGCCGCCACCGCCGCCACTAAACCCCAAGTGCCCCTGCTCTGCCCCAATCCACAGTCTCGGTCACAGCAGGACAACCTACCCCTGCATTGGAATCATGACATTTTTTAGACAGGCACATCATCAGGCCTGCAGAATCGATGGCTGAACCAAAAAATAAGCAAGTCAATGGGCCACCGATCTAACTCTTCGATCATCTGGATGTGGAGAAGGGCCTGGAAACGCTGTGCACAGCCTGAGCCGGGAGGTCAAGGCAGGCTGGATCCCAGTCTCCCCAGCTGGGCTGTGGGGGCTCCATCTGCCAGTGGGTGCTGGCCAAGTGGGTCCCCAGCCTAAGCAGGTCCAGTGCACCCGCAACAACCCCGCTCCCATTCTTCAACCCTTTCAGACCATGAGACACTGAGGAACACAGGGAGCAGAGCCTACAGAGCCACCTCCCCCAGCACCCCAGCACCCCCCACTCCGTGAAGTGAGATCTGATCTTAAAGACCAGCCCCCATCCCTTGTACAGTGAGGGCAGGGAGGGCCCGCCTGGCTTCGGGTTGCCGGGAGGCCCGGCCACCCTGTCCCCGGGTCCAGCCGCATGGAAGGCTCCTTCCCAGAAAGTGCTGCTGGCAGTCAGGTCTACAAAGGTCAGGCCCTCGCGGAGGCCGCAGCCCGGTGGCTTGAACCACAGCAAAACAGCTTCACTTTCAGCCCCAGTCCCTCCACAGGCTACAGGGCAGGGCCCAGCCCCCTTCCCGCGCCTCTTCCCAAGCTGGAGCCTGCACAGAGAGGATTCCCTGAGTTGTGCAACTGGTTAAGATTTTAACAGTTGTCCATTGTAAAAATCTTATGACTGGTTCTCACCTAGTAACCCAAGACCAAAAATTCCACCTAGGGCTTAGAAACTTAAGAATGCAAGTGGCTGATCAGAATTCCCCAGCCAAAGACTCCCCTCCCACAGAGAAGGTGAGGAGGAAAACCTGGGACAGCATCCCATCTGCACATCTGACCTCATCGCCCCTGGTGGCCACCGGTAAAACCAGCCCCCCCACCACCACGTGTCAGGGAGCGGGGAGCCCCCAGCCCCAGACCTGGCGGCCCTTCCCTGGGTCAGGGCAGTTCCTTCCACGGGGACTTCCCCTGCCACGGCTGCTGCTGCTGCTCCTCCTCCTCCTGTCCTTACACAGCGATGCCTTTTTTCATTCCCTTTTTTGTTTTATTTTAAACAAAGCATTTTGGGTGAGTAACCAGCTGTTTGAGTTTCCGATTGGCAGGTTAATCACTTCCTATTGGCTGATGTGGAGAACTTTTCTCCCCCCCCCTTGGAAGTGGCACATTCCTGTCTTTGTGGCTTCTCTGTTTACACACATTTTGCTACCTAATGTCAGCACTTGCTAATGAATAAATATATCACTCCACTCACTGAAAACGAGGGCCGGGCCTGGCAGAAGGACGGCTTCAACCCGGTGAACAGATTTATTCTGGTGTCTTCGCAGGAAACCCAAGAGAACGTAACTCTTCTCCTCTACGGTTTCAGGAGGCTTCTGCGAACATTTACCCCTAGCGTCTAGGTGACTGGTCTCTCTTTTAAGGAAAACCTCCAAGTGTGAAGACGACGGAAGAAAAAACAACAGGACAGAGAGGTGGCCCCCTTGGAGAGAATTCTTGAGTCTGGGAGCAAAAACCCAGTCAACTTATTCTTTGAGAAACAGCGCCTGATAATTTCAGCTAACATTTGTTATAAATACAGAGGGCCGATTATCTACTCATTAATGACCATTTATCTGGTGTTTTGTAAATCGAAAGCAAAATATCACATGCTCTGCAGGCCACTTATTAAACAGGCACCAGGCAAGCAGCAACGCCTCCCGACTTGAGAAAGCCGTGTGGAGTCCCAGGGGGGCTGCGGGCTTCGGTTACACCGTTCATTAAAGTATTTAATTTATGACAACGCCCCAGCAGAACTTTTAATTAGTGGGGGGAAAGCCCAACAGCCAAAACTCACGAAGCACAGGACTTGAGAATTCCAAGAGCAAAATGAGGCCCAACCCTTCACTTCTCTCAGAACCTTGGCAAAAAAATAACATTGTATTTTTCAGGCAGCCAGACTATAGGACACAAAGTTTCCAAGTTAGGATCCCTACTTTCCAGCTAATGAATCTCCCACTGTCCTAAGAAGGGGCTCCTGGACCCAGGGGCCACGCCAGTTGTCACCCCCAGGCCCCAGTTTTGCTGACCCTCTTCTCCCCTGGCACCGTCCGGCTCCATAGGGTGAGCCCCACGCTGCCAGCCAGAAGCTGAATGCAGACAATCACCACAGGGCTGGTGCCAGTCTCAAATGAGCTTTTGCCCTGGCCCCATGCCATCTGGTGACAAAGCAACAGGCAGAGAGCTATGCTAGAAACTTTTATAGCCCCAACCTAGAACTCTGAGCAAATCCAGGGGGAGTGCTGACTTTCAGGGGAGGGAGCAGAGGGAACCCACTGAGGGTGGTTTTGCCTTTGCTTCTTAAAATCTTGGACGTTTTATTCCCCACACAAGTCTCCTCTGCACCTTTTTCAACTGTCTTCCCTTCCATCAAATTACCCCTTCTTCCCACCCACCCACCTACCCACCCCTCCCCCAGTCCCCAGCACTCCCAAGTCTGAGTTCTCCCATCAACCAGCCCTATCTGGCTCTCCAGACACTTCTGCATGGATCAAATTCCACGTGTTAAAGCTGAGCCAGCTTCAGTCACGGTGTGCAAATAGATGAAAAAGGAACAAATTGTAAAGCATATCTAGGAAACTTTTTTAAGTTATATATCTACACACACACACACACACACACACACACACGGCAAACTTCCAACAGAAAAAACCTGTAAGCCCTTCCAGGCAAACCCAGCACCTCCCCAAGCCACTGCCTGGACAAAAAATCCGCATTCTGGAGGCTGTTTCTAACTTGAGAGAGAAGGGATATTTTTAAAATCATCTACTCACCAGTTGGTTTGAGAAAATCCATCGGGTATCTGGAGTAAGGAGGAGGGGGAGACTCTGGAATTAAGAAAGTAAGAGAAAATAAAGGCCGAGCCATGAGAAAGAGAGATAGAAACTTGTGATAACAGAGGCATTCTTCTGGCCCAACTGTTTGTCTTAGCTGTGGGGGTTGGAGGCAGGGCCGCGAGGCGGTGATTGCCTTGATATTTAGCTGTCAGATAAACAAAAGAGGCCGCCTGGCGCCAGCCCCGGCGCTCCGCTCCTCCACGTCTGCGGACGCCACCGCGGCTCGGCCGGCCTGGCTGGAAACCACCCGCTCCGCCGCGGCTGGGCTGGCCCGCGCACTTCGCAGTTCCCCGGGCGGGCGGGGGGCGACAAAGGCCCCCTCCCAGTCCGCGGACTTCAGACCCTGTCTCCCCGCCCTGCCTGCCCCCGCCCTCCCCACCAGGGACTCAGATCATCTTCGCCCCCGTCTCCCGAGTAGGCACCGGCTCGGGGAGCGCCCCGGGGGGCTCCCCCTCTCCCAGCCCCACCGAGACGCGCCCCGAGTGCGCTGGTGAACTCAGGCGGATCTGCTGGCGCCCGGGGAGCGCCCTTCCCACGTCCTGCACAGAGACGCGGAGAAAAGGGACGCAATGGAGGAGGCTGAGCAGATAGCGGGGGAAGCCGGTGTCTCGGCCCGGGCCCCGGCGCAGTAAATAAGGAGCAGCGCCGTCCTGGAGGAGCTGGGGACAGACCCCCGCCCCCGCCCACCGGTTAGTTCTGTGCTTTCTCGTGCCGTGAGAGGGGGAACCAAGGGACACCCCACTTCTCCTGAGTCCCTGTTCTTTATAACCCTGGGCTGGCAGAGTTGAGAGGAGATACCCAGTTCGGCCTCCCATCCTAACTCTCTTTGCCCCAAAATCTCCATGGCTGCACCGCCAGCGCAGAATCCGGGCCACCGAGCCCGACGTGCCTCTCTTTATTTACTGAAGGAGCAGAGACTCGTCGGCCTTTACAACTCGCTTCTCCCAGCCTTCCTTGGCGGGCTTGGACCGAATCCAACTCGGCCACACACCTCAACGCCTTTCCGGGTGCGGGGGAGGCGTGACCCCTACTTCTCTCTGCACCCCCTAGCTGATCCGGAAACGAGGACGTCTAATTTGTAACCGCAGGTCTGCAGAGTGTGCACAAGCGGCGCCCGTAGCCCCATTGGGGCAACAGGAAAAAAAATTGGAAGGGAACCCCCAGGGAAAACCCTTTCAGTTTCCCCTTGTCCCTTCTTTACTTCTGTCCTCAAGTCTCCTCCCAGGAAAGGCTGAAACACTCCCCTCCAGAGGTGGCTGCACACACACAGCCCGTGGAGGCTTTTCTTCCACCACTTGAGCGCCGCGGGGGGGAGGGGAGGGTGGGCACAGAACTCTTACCTAGTTCGCAGAGTCGGCTAAGGTGATGGGGGTTGCAGCACACCAGCTCGGGGTTGATCTTCCCGTAAGATTCACAGCAACACAGCCTCTTGACTTCCGAGGAATGCCTGAGATCCGGCCACCTGAACACTTTGCACAGCAGGAGGGGGAGCGAGTACGACGAGGGCGGCTGGGCGGGCTGCGAGCCAGCGGGCGCCCCCAGGCCCAGCCTGCAGTCCAGCCGGCCCGGCAGCAAGAGGCACGCGGTGCGCGTACCGCCGCGGGACTCCACGGCCTGGAGCAGCAGCTCCAGCTGCCGTTCCTTCAGTTTCTTAAGCACCGAGTGTGTGAGCGCCTTCAGATCCGCCTCGGGCCCCCCGGCCGCACCGGTGCCCCCGGCTGGGGGATGGGGGTGGTGACCTTTGGCACCTCGGGCCGCTTTGCCCAGGCAGCAGCCAGCCCTGCTTGCGCCGCCGCCACCGGCCCCATGTGCCCGGCCGTCCGTCGCGCCCTCTCCCCGCAGCTCGCCGCCTCCGCCGCCTCCCCCCGCGCCCTCCTCCTCGTCCTCGCCGCCGGGCGCACGGCTCCTCCAGAGACGCCGGACGAGCGCAGATCGTTTGGTCCTGAACATGCGGGGCGAGGAGGCGAGGAGAAAAGTCGTTTGCCGGCTAAGGAGCGAACATGACCTCCGCACACCATGAAGAAGTCGGGTGCCGAGTTGGGGCAGCAGGCGCAGGCGACAACAGCAACAGCAGGGGCCCGGGCAGGAGCGGCGGCGGCCCGAAGGGCGCTCCGTGGCATGCGCCAGTCTCCCGGAGGCCGGGACGCGTGCGGGGGCCCGGAGGCGCCCGCCGGGGCTCGGGGGCCCGCGCTCCCGCTGCCCCACCCCGCGCTGCCCGAGCCCTGCGCGGCTCTCGGGCCCCGGCGCACCCCGGAGGAAAGCGGCCGCCGCTTCCCTGGGGTCGGCGAAGCCTGCCCGGGTCGGCGCCTCCCCAAAAAGAGGCCCCCCCGCAGCGGCTCCCGAGTGTCGGGCTCGCCAGCCTCGGCTTCCTACATGGAAGACCAGCGGGGGCAAAAAACGAAAGGTGTTGAACTGAGCTGGTGGAGGGAGGAAAAAGCCTCTTTCCCCCTTGCTAAGCAACTTAATTTGGGGGTGGGGAGAAGCAGGCAATTAAAAAAAAAAAGCAGGCACGCGATTTATTTTTTTCCTCTATATCCTTAGTAACCGGATCTCCTCAAATTCCGTGCACACGAAGACTCGGGGGAGGGGGCCGAGTGGACTTCACCCTGCATGAGATGTCTGGCGAAACAAGAAGGCTCTCTCAAAACCTAAGAACCAAATATGCAAAGCCCAAAATGAAAAACACCACCTCCTCTCACCCTGGAGGTCTGGGGCCGTCCGACTGGAACTGGGATTTAAAAAAAGAAAATGTTTACAAAGTAGAAGAAGACGTTTGAGGGGTGGAAAAAACGTATCCACGAGTTACATCCCCTTTTTTTCCTTGCAAATCCCCGCTGGTCTTCCTCTCCTTTTCTTCTGCCAAAAGAAAAAAAAAAGCTGTATATATTTTTAATCCACAGAAAGCTTTGGCTAGACTGCTTCAATCCTCCGCATATAGGTGATTTAGAGGAGTCTCTGGTCTTTCCTCCTTCGCTCCCAGGGGCTCCGATCCTCTGCTGGGACTTCCTCGGGGCTGGCGGGGCCGCAGGGGCAGAAGATGCTGCGGCGGCGACTGCGCCCGGCGGGGCTGACAGCGCGGGGGAGGGCGGCGCGGCAGCCGCGGCGGGCCCCTGGCGGGTCGCGCGCTCTCGCCCTCCAGAGCGCAAGCTGCTGGCTAGTTCGGGGGCCGCCGGCGCCCCCTCCCCTGTCCGCGGCTGACCGCCGGGCTCTCCGTAAGGGCTGCTCGCCTCAACCCGGCTGCAGCAGCAGGAGGCCCCGGTGTCCTCACGCCGCCTCCTCTTCCGAGACTCCTCGTCGCGCCCGGGAGCCTCCTTGTCCCCCGTCCGCCCTCTCCTGGCGCTCGGGTCCTTCTGCCGCCTCCGGGGTTCGCCGCGCCGCACTCAGGGGCTCGGGGGCCGGGCTCTCGGCAGCTCGGCGCCGGCGGGCTGGCTCCGTCTGGGGCAGCTCTCTCGGGCGCGGCGAGCGGACCGAGCACGGCGCGCAGCTGGCTCGGCTGGCGCGGCTCGGGAACAGGCTCCTCGGTGCACGGAGCAGGCGAGCGAATGTGCCCGAGGCTCGTTGCCTCCTGCAAGGCCTCCCGCCCCCGCCCCCTTCCCTCCTCCTTCCTCCCCCTTTCCTCCCCCGCCCCCAGCGGCTGCCGCCGCCGCCGCCTCCCCCCACCCCCCCGCGGGCCCTCTGCTCTGCTGGTTCCACTGCGCAGTGGCGCGCCCGGCTCCGGCTTCGTCACGTGGCCGTCTAGACACCCTGTCGCTTTAAAAAAAAAAAAAAGCGATTGTGTTTCGCAAACAACAGATCGGGTTTCTAAAAGCTATTTCTCCCCCCGCCCCCAGCCACCACCACCCCCTCCCGGGTTTTCGGAGAGGGGGAACCTTGGAGGCGGGGGGCAGTGGGGGGTGCGAATAAAGGTGGGGAGCAAAGAAGCTCCCAGGACGGACTAAGACCTGGCCGGATCAGAGGAGAAATGAGAAGCCCCGAGAGCACCCGGCGGGCTTCGCCGGCGAGTTTCGGAGCGGAACGAGCCGGTCGGTGGCCCGATTTAGACCCAGCCCGTGGAGCTTCGCAGTGGCTGTCCCGCGCGCTTGCCCAAGCGCTTCATTCATTCGTTTTGTTTTAAAGGCCCTGGCGGCGGATCCCTTGGCGGCGCAGGAGGGAAGGGGGAGGAGAGCGCTGTCTCCGTCTAAAAGACATTTACACTGGACTGGACCGAAGCCCTGGGAGGTGTGCGCTGGAGGGAACAGCCGGGCCGCCGAGGGCGGGGAGGCGGCGCGAATGTGACCTCAGCGGCGGCCGCGTGCTCCCTCCCGCCCTCTCCCGTTCCGGGCTCGGGTTTCTAGGACTGCTTGGAGAAGTGTGTCTTGTGCACAGCTCTGGAATGCATTTGGCCGATTGACGAGCTGCGAGGGGCAGCATCCTGGCGGGAGAAGGGGGGGTTGAGGGGGGGCAGCGGGACTCGCGCGCCCGCCGCCGGCAGGTTTCCTCTGGAGCCCGGAAGACCTCAGCCACCCCGCCTCCCGGCGCGGAAAGGTTACCTTTGGAGCAGACCTGCCTAGGACATACATATGCATGCGGGGCCTGTTTCTGCCCCTTCATCGGCCCCGTAGCTTTCAAGGTGCTTAGGGTCAGAGAGTTTATCCCCTGACCGTAGTAGGTCTGGGAGAAGCACAGACCCACTGGCAGATTACTGCATGGAAATGGGGAAAGCACTGGAAGGGGCAAGGACCGTAACTGTTTGCTTCGTGAAAGCAGATGGTACTGAGAAATGCCCTGATTTAAGTGTACGTATAGGCGTCGGTATTAATGAGGCCACTAGTTGGCATGGTGATCTAACCTCACATCATTTTTAGTAGAATAAGATTTTTTTTAATGTTATTTAGAATTGTGAGGTCAGGAGGACAATGAAACTCATTGGTGAGTTCCAACGGATCTTTACAAGAGGTGAAATGTACTATTTTCATCTTCCCAGCTAAATTGCACATTCATAAAAGGAAAAGGCACAGACGGACCTTAGCTTTAGAGCTCAGCCCACTCCCCTCCAACCCTTTAAAGGCATCTGACACGCAGTCGACGCTCACTAAATATTTAGGAATCAACAGAATGGATAGAACCTAAAGGGACATTTGGACCACACCCCCTAAGCCCACAAAAAGCACTTTTGGAGATACAAATATGAGAGAAAATCGGGAACATTGGTGACATCATCGTCTCCAGGCAAGAGGGTCCTGAAGACATGGGGACACCAAGCCATGCAGGGGCACGTGGTAGCAGGGGGCAGGGCCTGGCCGCCTAAGCAGTACTGTGTAAGGCCAGACAGGCGGCAATTGTACAGGATCATAATTTTGTAATAAAGATGTTGCTTATTGAAAAGGGCACTGATGGTGTGTGTGTGTGTGCGTGAACTTTCTAAAGAAGCAACCTACACAAATAGCAGCCGACAAAGCCCAGGAGAAAATGAATGTCGGGGAGGCTTGGGTGTGGGTGATCCCATCAGAACAGGCCAGACGGGAGGGACAGAAAGGGGATGTTTGAGGTGTCTGGGAAATGTATAACCTGAGAAAAGCTCAGAGAGCACACCAGACTAGAAGTCAGAGAAGCTGGTTCCCAGCGAGGGCTCTGCCATTCACCGGTTAAGTAATTTGCACCTGTGATCCTCACGTTAGGTGAGCACTTGGAAGGGCTGCGAAAGCTTTCTGGCCAAGTTTCCCGCTCTCTCGGGGTCCCTTTCCCTCTCTCTGCTCTGGGCCTCACCAGGAGGTCTTTGCTCTTCGAGGGAGGCCAAGCAAGGCTCTAAGAGTGACAGAAAGGACTCAAATAAACAGAAAGCAAATGTCCTAACTCAGATTCAGCTTCGAATGCTGGAGAATCTGGAGACTTGGAAATCTGGCCCGCGGTGCCAGCCCTGTAATGAGAGGCCAAGCACACACAGGGCAGGTAGGTTTAGTGGGTGTTTCAGGAGTTGGATCTGACGTCACAGCTTGTCTGGGTGGAACGTGCATACACTTGCAGAGATATGTTCCCATATAGTGTAATTGTGGGTGTTTTAATTCAGGCGTCACCCCTACCTTGCCCTCTCCACACAGCTTTCCTCCTCTACTTTACGGCCCTGAGCAGACAATGGGTGGGATGCTGGGCAAGTAGCTACAGTGGCCGGTGCTGCTTTATTAGCTCCCTGGCATTCCCTGAACCAGTTAACATCCCAGCCTTCCTGAGAGCCGGCCCCACCCCGCAGCATTCTTGCTCCTTTCCTTTCCAAGAAAGAAGCTGGGCAGCAGAGGAGCCCTTGGATGGCTGGTGTGCCTAGAAAGGGAGTTCCTTCCCTTCCCCTCCCTCTTCCCTTCCCTTCCCTTCCTTTCCCTTTCCTTCCCGTTCCTTCCCTTTCCGTGGGCCTCAATGAGACTGGCAAGCACCCTGTCTCAAACTATGCTGATCCTTTAAAAGAAAAAGTTTAGAAGTTCACCAAACTATTGTGAATGAGTTTGATTCTAATCATTTGCTGGCAGGGAATATGGAATAAAATATCTCATTTGCAGTTGTTTATTTCCTGTTGTGGCTTCTATTTTCATCTTTTAGTCACTTTGGTGATAGATATCAAACAGTAATCATGGTGCAGCCACAAGTCACAGAGACTAAAATAACTTACAGCAGAGCTACGACAAGCCAGGATGGAGTCAGCTCAAGACCTGGCTACTTAATCACTGGCCCCTGGCACCAGGACGGCTGTGGGGGCTGCCACTTCGCTGACTGCTGGCCAAGCATCCAGGGGAAAGAGGAAGCTGGAGGGAAATTTCTCTGAGGTCCCTAGTCTTGAGCAGGCAGGGCCCCAGAGCGTGCCGGAAGTGGGGGAGAGCCAGGTGCACCCTCCACGGTGGCTGGGGAGGAAGACCGGCTTGAAAGAGAAAAAAAGGCAAAAACAAGAATCTACAGAACTCTCCGTGCCAACGAGCAACCCTAAGCACAAGTGCAACATCACTCCTGTTCAGGGAAGACAGGATTCTCCCTGGGTCCTGGAGGAGAAAGGCAGAGAGAGCCCCAGAGTGTGTGTGGATGTGTGTCGGTGGGGCTGAGGGCAGGGGTGAGGCAGGGGTGAGGGCAGGAGTGAGGTGGGTGAGGCAGGAATAAGGATTTCTCCTTGCAGAAGCCAAAAGAAAAAAAACAATGGAAGAAGCCAAAAAAAAAGTGTTGGAAAATATTGACATTTCTTGCACAACCACCCCCTGAAAAATGTGTGAGGGAGCCCTAGAACCATCCTGAACTGGCAGCCATACAAATGGGAGTGATGGTTCACGAAAGGAACGTTCCCGGGTGAGGCCGATGTGACAATCAGCGCTTCTTGGCTTATCTTAAAAGAGCAAGAGCGTAAGTGAATGAAAATGCACCTAATTCACAATCAAACAGAGATGCTCTAGGACCTGACTCATCAAATATTCCTCCGTGGCAGACATGCTGTCGGCTGAACCGCAGGAGCTGCCAGGTGGCTGCCCAGAGTGCGCAGCCAGGTACTAGGGCTGGAGGGCGGGGCAAGAGGAAATGGATGTTGTTTATGGAGGACACATGAGAAACACCCAGAGAAAGTAAAGATCGAGGACAACAGAGACACCCAAACATACAGTCGTCACAAGGGATGTGCCTTCTTCCCGGGAGGGGCAGCGGCCGGCGAAGGACAGCGCAGGGAGGGAGAGGTCGCCGGAGATGAATGACTCCTTGTCCCGTGTGCGTGTGTTACTTACTCAAAAACTATACAGATTTAAGGAGTGTCTTTTAAATCCTTGGCTTGCTTTCCTCATTTCCTGAAATGTGCTCTTCTAATGTCCGTGTAGAAAAGGACAGAAGCCCCCCGTGGAAGACAGGCTACAGACAGTTTCTCCCCTCTGTGGGGCGGAGACCATGGGAAGGCCAATGACAACGGAAGCCAGCATGTCATCCCAGACGGCAAGGGCGGAGGCTGCCTCGTCATGACTCTGGCGAGAGTCAGCGAGGAAACACGCCAGCCCTAATCAAAAGTCACTCTAGCTATCAGTCAGGTGCAAGTCCGAACCCGGGACAGACAGCCTCGTAAATACTGCCGTCGGGACCACGGAGGCGCAGGGAGGAGCCCGAGCAGCCTCAGGAAAGGCGAGCATGGCTTTCTGGAGCAGAAATGTGTTCACGTGATTCTCCATCCACATAGGCAGCACCTATTCCAAATGCAGAGCCAGGCACCAGGGGAGACCCCTGAGGGATAGAGAGGTGGTATTAAACAGCCCCTGCCCTCCAGAGAGGCAGGACCTATGAAAACAGGCCAATCTTTACACGTCATCAGCACCACCTTGGCAGCAAGAATGGAGGCACTGGCCCAGCAGAACAGAAGATCAAGGCACCTATTCTGTCCAGCAAGGGTCTCCAAAAGCTGCCCAAAGGAAGAGCTATTTGGGACATGTCTAGCTGAGCTGACTAACCAGGCAGATATGGCCAGGGTACAGACGATCGTGTTCAAGAAGAAAACAGGAAAGAAAGAAAAATTGTAGTTTTCTGTCAACGTCACGTTCTCTTCAAAACCCAAGCCACGCTGGCCACTTAAATATATAACTTTATCTACAAA